AGACCCTTCACGAACCTTATTTTTCTAGAAGTCTCTTGCCCTTGCCTTGTCGTAGCTACTACTTTAGTATTCCAGCTCGCACACAACTTGCGTATAACCTCACCCAGCCAGACGGGAAGCCTGTGTACGTCAGTCATTGCGCATAACCAATCATGATCGACGGAGTCGTAGGCTTTGCGCACGTCAATCCATGCCATACTCAAATTCCGTTTGCCTCTGTGACAATCCAGCATTACTGCTCTATCGATTAGCAAGTTATCCATCGTACCGAAACACTCTGATTTCGCTCCTCTTTGCTGGCCTTCCATCAGGCCATAATGTTCAAGGTGTTGGTCCATGGGTGCCAGGAGGCAAGATGTAAACCACTTATACATGTTATTCAGACAAGTAATTGGTCTTTGATTTTTTACTGAGGAACTCGCCTTCTTTCGGAATGAGGGAGTTTTTCCCGTCAGAAAACCACTCGGGGTAATCTTCGTCGCTCTTAGAAACGTCTTTGAAGCTCTCGACCACACCCTCGTGCAGGGTGCTAGCACGTTTCCACCAAAAGTTAGTGATTTTATCAGGCCCTGGCGCACTCCAGTTGCGCTTCTTGGACAGGACTTTGACCGCTTCCGCTAATTCGAGAGCCCATTCGTCGCCTGTCGGTGGTGGTACTTGCTCGTGGATCGCAAGCTTTACTTCCTGCAACCAGGCCGCGTTCTTATTCCCAGTCCCTCTCTCTTCCCACAGCTTTCTCCAAAACCCGCTCGCCTCTTCAATGTTTTCAAACATTCGCGAATCATCTCGAGCATGTTTTCCAGGATCTTTATATCTTGGCCGCTCATTCTCTGGGTCCTTCTCCAACATCTCACTCAAATTCGCAAACACTCTTACAGGGACCGTGTTAAACTGTTGGTTAATCACACGCGAGACCTCTTGTTTCTTTTTCCTGTCAAACCCACGTTTTAACTTTCGGAGCTCCGACTTTTTTTCTCCATGTAGCTAATCAAACCTGCTACAGAGATGGTTTTGCATTCTTTTTGGAGGTGAGACCTATTTTTCCTTCCTTTTTTCGTGATCTTTCTATTTTCTTTCAACCTTTCTTATTATTATTATTATTATTATTATTATTATTATTATTATTATATATCTGACATTGACATTACGAGAACAAAAGGCTGTTTTTTGTCATTTTTAAATAGTTTTTTGACCAAAGCCCTTGTTATCCAGATAGTCATTTTACAACAATTCCTTTCGCATCCGTTTTCATTTTTAAAACGCAACTTGAATTAGTCTTTTTTTTTTTTAAATCGGATACGGCTTTGTTTTTATTATTACGTATCTAATTATTATTATTATTATTATTATTATTATTATTATTATTATTATTATTATTATTATTATTATTATTGTCGAAAAAAAGGCGTTCAATGAAGACGCCGAACGTTCCACTAGTTCGTGTGTACAGACGAAAACGGAACTTTTCGAAAACGCTGAGGACACGCTATCAGTTCCAATCCACTCCGCGCAATATTAGAAACTTGATGGCGGATGGGCGCTTCCCTTTGTTGTCTTGGGCTTATTTCTAGCCTAATTGCTTGTTTTCAAGCTGATTATTCCAGGAGGCGGCAGAACATTATCAGGTTACTTTCGCTCCCAGCTTTCGCTACCGTTGTCAAGAGGAGGAAGGTTGGATCTCCCTTTAGTTTAACTTGGATTTTGCCCCGATTTTTAATCTGTTTCTGCGACTTTGAAGAACGTCACAACAGTATAAATCCACACGAAAGAAATTCAAGGATGGCGCCAAATAATAGCGAAAGCGTGTGCGTCACAGCATGCGCAGTCGGGTAAGTTACCGTTTTCAAATGGATTCATCGTATACCTGTGGACAGATGAAAGCGATGCGAAAGCGCTACGAGTGGACGCGAATTTTTTTGAAAACGGAGAAAAAAAGTTGCTTTTTCAAACGAATACGGATACGTGGAGACAGGGCCTGAAACCTATGAAACGTATCCATTAGTTGATTCCAAGAGAGGATAAAGGGGACAGAGAAGGCATCCCCCATACACGCCCTATTCCATAGGTAATTCGTCTCGAGTTATTTTTAAGACCACAGATCCCAAGGGGGATTAGACAACAGTCAATCACATAGCGCGAATGTGTTCCGCGTGGATGACCCACGGAGAGCGATATTGCTATTCGTTTTGTCGACGAAAACGACTAAAGAGAGATTTCTACTAAAACGGTGTCAGCGAAATGGAAATTAAATAAGAATCTCCCAGGGAAATCCTTAACACACTGAATATTCTCTGAGGATCATTTATAATTTACAGTTTGAAGAGAGCAATTTCTGGTTTGATATTTATTCTTATATTAGTCTTTTATTATTCAACAAAAATAACACTTGATGTCCTACTTGCTTTATTGTACAAACGACCGGTTTCAATAGACCGGAGAAATTTCTCATTTTATTAAAGCACTGAGGTTACGACAACTTCGAGTTAAACTGATTTCACGGTTGTCAGAGTCCAGCGATTCCCTTTTCCCAGGTGAGCGCCGACTCATTTCGCTTCAATATTCAGAAATGCTCTCGATCTCTTTACGCTTTCATTGCCTTTTGCCCGACATATTTTGCACGGCGTTTAGTAATGCGAAACCTCCACGAAACATCCACGTAGCGTGCGAGGTAACTTCATCCCGATTCCAAAAATAACTCGAGACGAATTACCTATGGAATAGGGTGTGTATGGGGGATGCCTTCTCTGTCCCCTTTATCCTCTCTTGTTGATTCATGTTCTCAATGGAATATGAAGTATTGAAACTAAATTCCAATTGATATTGCGCTCAGCAAGATCTCGAATATTTTTAATATTCATTGTATAGAACTTTGCTCGATCTTTGTTACGCCACTGGAATCTCGGGCAACTTGCATTGTGAAAAGCCCTAAGCACCATTCTGTCAAGGCAGCGGGGGAGAAGGTTAAAGGGGCTGTGTCACGGCAGTCCAGTTCATTTTGTTTAATTTTGTCAATTACTCACCCTCAATCGCTATGGAACTTAAAGTAAACAAAGAATTTACATGGAAATGACAAAATCAGAGATTCGAGACAAACAAATATGTTTCCTGAGCATTTTTTTTTTTGGAAGTTACAAACCGCAGAGATCAACTTTGAAAAACTGGTAGACTGAACAGTTTTCAAAAACCCTCATTTCAATCCGTTTCAATCTTCTTCAGTCTTGCCCATCCGTGGCATCTGTTGTATCTGTTGTGTTATTTTAACCTTCCTTTAATGTTTTAAGCGGTTATTTTTACGTTTCTCTCAATTTAACGGGCATTTTGTCATTACCTAATTTGGCTGAATTTCGTGACACAGCTCCTTCAAAAAAATGTGACGTTGACCTGAAAACTTCCATACAAATCTTGTTTCACTACCCCATTACCTTTCCTTTGATCTAATCCTAAGATCCTAAAAGCTTTCTCAAAGACTTTCCTAGAAAAATAAAGCCTACTAAATGTCCAGAAAAAGAAAAAAAAGAGGCAATAAAAGCGAAAGAAGAGGGGAGGATGAGCTTTCTGTGCATGTCCGAACTTCGCAAGCTAATGCCTGGATCAAAAGGTCGCCAAGCGTACGTACGACCTGTAAACGGTTTTGTGGTAAGTGTTAGTTCGTGACTTGGGCTCCTTAGACGGGAGCGACAAAACCAACTTTATACATTAAACCAATAAGACTGGCAATCTTTTCACAAATAACATTTTAAAAAAGTGCTTTCTACGTGACGTATTGGTTAATTTAAACTACTAGAAATTTCATAGTATCCACTGCTTCGACAATATTGTTGTCTAAGTACTCTAAGTAGTAAAGGGTTGATTTCAAGCAAGACATTTTCGGCTACGTCTGAAGCTTATTAGCTTAGTTTTGGATGTTCGGGTCCTTCTGTACCAGGAATATGCCAGAATCATCATCAAATAAAATGCTAGGCATCTGAACAAGCTGGTAAATCTTTTATATACAGAATGACGTTACCGTAAATACGTTAGTGAGTAAATAAATAAGAAGGTAAATTAGCCCTCATTCCTTCGATAACATTAATCAATTAATGATCATAATACCTTTTTTAGCTTTCAGCCAACCAATAAAAAACCAAGATATTCGCCAACCTTAAAACAACAACCTGTCAAACCGGTTAAACCACCCACATGCACAAATACAGCAGATGACCGTACCTTTTCTTTACAAGTTAAGGACAAACACAAACGGCCATGACATCATTGACGCTAATGTATTCTCCTTCAAATTAATGAGATTTCCTTCCAGAAAAAGAAAAACCGGTCCCTACTATACTATTAACGTGCATGAAAAGTTCAACACTTCTAATCAAATGTTTTGCTGTACTTTAAATTCTTCTTTGGGAATCTGATGAAACATTTTTTGGGAAACAAAAAAAAAGGTAGGGAGAAAATTGCATGAGCCGTAAGGAGAGTGTGTTACGACTCCCAGCCCCAACTTGGCCACGCTCTTTACGTCAAACCTCATGCAGACTTAGTTCCCCAAGAATGAAAAATACACAGTCTCTATGAGTTCTCAGTGAAGCTTATGATATCAGTTGAATGACTAATACAGTCAACACTCCTTTGCGGTCACCAAAGTGACAGAGCCAAGTATCTCCAGTACAGAGTTGTTGGTTTTATAAAAACCGAGCCGGGACCGTGTGGACTTTGGAACCAAGAGAACTCTTCGTAATAGACAGGTGCTTGTATTGTACAAGTGTCCCTTAAGTGAAGTACTACTGTAAACATTTTGCAACCTACTGTTAGTTAACACTTACTTTAGTTTTTGTAATGAGTAAAGTCTCCAAGACTCGTCGGATCGAATGCGGTTGAGTGTGAGAGCAAATTATGTAATTTGAGTAACCATACAAAATCTTTTGGTATGACCATTCAAATAAAGCTTCAGTCTTTAAAAGTACTTTGAAATTATCCTAAGATATATATTTTTTTTATTTTTCTCGAATCCCACTCTAATAGGTGTATTTCTCATAGCCGAGGAAATCCATAAGATCTCTGCATTCATCCTCTACGGCCTTTATAAAGGGCTTTGGTGCGTTTTTCCAACCATGAATAGCGGCTGTAGCATTCCTGAAAACACAGTATTCTGTTCCTTGTTTTGAATTGTTTGCTAGTTGACTTATCCATTCATCAATGCTCGTTGACCAATCAAATCCTGCGAACCTGTACAGTTCCCGTGTGATATTTACCGTATTTCCCACAAGATCCTCGTAACGAAGAATTTTAAAGCGGTTCTTAAGCCAGGAAGAGGGAGAGAACAATCCAAAGCGAATATTCTGTAGTATCGGATTACATATCCTTCGAACATTATCACTAAAGCTGGGATGCAAATGATCTTTCATCCATTTGAGATTTACCCTGGAGTTCACCACTGCTCTTGGATCTCGAACTAAATGGACTAATTTGACGTCATAGTGGCTTTGTTGTTGGAAAAGTTCTTTGAAAGTTTCTATTGTCTTGTTGGGTACTCGTGCAGACAAAATCTTGATAACAGTGTACTTGTGATTTTCACAAGTACTGGTAAGCAAAGCGCTTGAAAACTGCTTAAGATTTACCTTTGAAAATGCGTTACTTTTGAGAAGATGCCAACCGCTTTTTGAAAGTGCCGATATAGTAGTCTTAGAGAGGTTCGCAAAGTCGCACTTGAGGAAACCATCGATTACCCGGAGGAATGCTTGCTTGTAATTCTTTGGTTCTTTCTCTCCTTTATCCAAATCAACATGGAAAATTTTTCTAGTTATGGCAAAAAAGGGTTCAAAGGAATACATGACATGAGGATTTTCATTAAAAAGTGATCCAAGGAAAGAGGAGCCTCCGCGGCCTGGACTTATTATGATGAGATTTTTCCTTGTAGAAAACGGCTTTTGTGGCAGCGGTGTTGCACGCTCCATTGTACTGTTGGTCTTTTGAAAGTCAGTCAACAGTGGTGTTAATGATTTCGTTCCAACTTTGTCGTAGAAAGAGACGAGAAGCAGCGAGATAAGAGAGCACATGAGGAGAAATATAAAGCTGCTCTTCATAGCTGATTAAGGAACTTTTGTTTTAACTGCAAAGGAAAAAATACATCTGAATGTTTATGACAAGTAAAGATATTGAATTTAGTAACTTAAAAGATTATAATCTGGGGTCGAGGTGCATATATAAGCTAAAACTCTCTTTTGATCACGGCTTAACTGACAGACGACCAGTGACATGGCGACGAAATTGACCAATCAGGTCAATAACCAGAGTTTAATACCATCAACTAACTCACTTAGACTCTGAAGATGACTACTGTGCACGTTTTTTTTCGCTTTACTTTCTGTGTAGTTTTCGCTCATAGGTAGAGGGTTGGTTCTGCAAGAGAGCGTCGCCTCTTTATCTGATATCATGTTTGGCAAGGCTGGCTAAATCACGTGGGTGAGTCGTGCGTTGTTGGTCAAGCGTCTTGCGCTCTTAATCGAAAGATTCTTAGTAACAAGCGAAACAATCTGAATATCAAAACGGTCTAGTATCTATGAAAAGTAAGCAAAAAGGTAGAAATTTATCATTATTTATTATTATTTTTGGAATGTTTTGGTGCATCTTGCACAGAGGATCACTTAATTACGAAGTATTGTGAGAATCCTATGGTATGGTTGATTAAAAATTGATAGCGCCTGCACGGTCAGTGTAAGACACAGACTATGGACTGACACAGAAATAAAACAAGTGGAATCAACCAATTTTAGGAATGTATATTGAGTCATGCTTGACATGGAACTACCCTATAAATTACATCATAAAAAGACCTCCAAAACAACAGGAATATCATGAAAAGCGAGACAACTTTTACTTTTCATTAAGATAAAATATCATATTGAAAACAAAAAGTATAAAGACTCAGGTTTGGTATTCTGTGTAAAGGTTAATAAGCCTTAATATTGTAACTGAAGAATGAACCCCTCTTGAATTAAATTTTCCCTAAAAGAGGAAGGTTGTCGTCAATTCAGAGACGCCCTAAGTTCAAGGAGGAGAGAATCTCTTCTCTTGTGCCCGTCCCCTCTAGCTTAAGCTAAGTACGAGCAACAAGCATTGTCGTAGCAAGGGTGGTGCAGCTAGTGGTGAGAGCTTTCGCCTCCCACCAATGTCATGTAAAAATTTTGAGATGTAAAAATGTTCTTAAATTCGTAAAGCTATCTCACAGCCAGGGAGGAGGCCAACATGAAAGCCATCAACGTGTTTCGAAACTGTTCTTAACTGTTGATGTCAACAGGCAACAAGAATGCTGGTGCAGCTGGAAAGTTTTTTAAAAAGCAATATGTTCTCATACGACCAGATCAAATGATTCTTGACTAATAGAAAACATACAAAATTCTGTTAAAGTAAAAGAGGAAGTTGGGAAGAGCAAGATATCAAAGATCAGCATGAGCAGCATGTATACCAAGTCCGGTAAGCTTAAACTGAGGAAAGGAAAGCCAATCAGATTTTGATAAGGAAAGGAACACAGTACCCTGGATACCATTCTTGTCAACCAATTGTAACGTCTGTTAGATTCCAAGTCCCATTGGTGCATGGTCATTAGAAGCCAATCATCTGTCGTGTCCAAAAACCGGACTAAACCGGATTTAACCGTGCATAGCGCTCTGGTCTAGAGGCTTTTTGCGAGTGCATGTCACGATAAAGACTTGACCGAAACCAGAAACCGCCCATGAAAAGTCTCGACCAGACAGGACCTGGCACCCAGGGTAGCGCTCAGTAAAAAATCTTATCAAAAACATCCAACATTTAAAGCATACAGACAGCAAATGTAAACATATGTTTCGTGGACACATTCTGAAAAGTAAATAAAAAAGAAGTGAAAAAAAAAAACTGAGGCAAAGAAGAGTGGAACTAAGAATAGATGAAAAGAGGAGAATTTAATTCTGATACAATCTTCAAACTACTGTCTGTCAAATTCTACTAGCTAAAACAAATGGTGGAAAGAAAAATTAACTAATCAATCTTGTGAAGTTATCACAGAGTATATTATTGCCCTCAATCTGTGGAAACAGTAGTGGCAACAATTCTCCCTTGCAGTGAATTAGAGGACGCTAATACAGTGTAATGGTTTATCGTTCAAATGTAGAAGGATTGGTATACACTTTGTTTATAGTTTGTTATGTTAGTTTGCTATAACATCATTTTGAACATATGGAACAGTTTGTCCTCTCACGTACGTCTTTCTGGTGATGCTAATGACTTCAAAAGTAAATTGCACGACTGCAGATTTTAAGAACGTGTTTTATAGTGCACGATTGTAGCTTTTTAGAACGTGTCTTGTAGCTAGTTTTCCACTCTCGTTTTTAGTAGGTTCTGTAAAACGATATTTTTGGGTACAAGTTAATTCCAAAATGACAATACTGTAGAGTAGAGGACACTTCGTGTCGTATTACATGATGTAAAACTAGGGCTAGGACCTCGTGGTCAGGAAAAGAGTAAAGTTTGAGTAAACACGGTCGAGACTATTACGACGACTCTTGCCTTGATTTATTACATTGGTGGCAGCGAACTGGGATATAAAGATGGAAGAAGATGGAACTCCAGCAGGAGCCGAAGGCGGGTTACCGAAACTAGATGAAATGTCCGCAGGCGCCGAAGGAGGGTTACCGAAACTTGAATCGACAGAACCCGTGCTGAAACAACAACAAAAGAAGAAACCACCGAAAGTAGAGCCACACGAAGGGGGCAGTGACCTGCAGCAGCTCGTAAATACCCTGTCTCAAGCTCTAAAGCAGAGTATGGTGGCGTCAAGCGAACAAAGCGAAGTTAGGAGGAACGTAAGAGCTCCACGCGTTTATTCAGTGGGCCAAAATTTCAAAACGTGGCTCTCGCAGTTCATGCAATACGCAAGTCTCGTGCACATCAAACCGGTGGATCGTCGAGCGTATTTGCTTACATTATTGGACCAACCGGCCTACAAAGCTGTTGAGCTGCTCAAGCTCTCGGAATCGCTACCGTTCGAAGAATTTACTGATCAGTTGACTCGAAGATTTGATTCGGGGAAGACGAAAGAAGATTACAAATTGCAGTTGCAGGCACGATGCCAAAAGCCAAATGAAGATTTCGATGGATTTGCGGATAGCTTGATGGAATTGGTCGAAAATGCGTACCCAGAGGCGGCCTATTCGTTTAAAAGTGGAACTGGCAAGGGACCAGTTTCTTCAAGGTGTAGCAATTAGTGATGACATTCGTGAGAGAGTTTTTATGAGCCAGCCGAGTTCGCTCGTGGAAGCTGTGCGTGTGGTTCGCCAGTTGGAAAGTGCTCGTAAGGCTTGTCGCGCAGCTCCTGCGGTTGAGAAGAAGAAATCTGTTAATGTGATTGGTGCCTCGGCTGATAGTGAGAAGATTTCATCTGAAATACGCGAGCTCAAGGAATTAGTTCTTGGCATGAATGAGAAAATTCGTGAGCTGGAAATGAAAACGGAAGCAAAAACCGTGACAGCCCCACGGCACCGAAACGAAGTAGTGTGTTACAATTGTCGTAAACAGGGTCATTTTGCACGTGATTGTCCGACTAATACAACGGGAAACGGAGCTCGGGGCCTGCCAAGGGCCAGACAGTCCCCGTAGGACCAGTACGTGTGGCCCTGTCAGACAGTGATGTCCGTGAGGTAAATTACAATACAACCGCGAATGACAGTGTAATTTCAGCCATATCTGATTCCGGGATTTATATTACTGGACTTGTGAATCATTGTTTAACTTGTGTATTGTTGGACACTGGCGCTACGGTTAGTGTATTGAGCGAGGACACATGGAAGAAAAGTGGATATGTTTCTAAACTTAAACCAGTGATAGGAACATTAACGACAGCAAATGGCAATGAACTGACTGTCTTAGGAGAAACCCAAGTGAGATTTCGCATAGGAAACATGGATTGCTCCTGGCCTGTCATGATTGCGCAAGGTCTAGCACATGATTGTATTCTTGGTTCAGACTTTTTCAGCAGTATGGATGTCAAATTCACTATGACACGGGAACCTTTGTGGTAGGAGATGCTGAAATTCCTATTAGATACTGCAAGGTCACACCTAGTGTTTGTAGACTTTATCTGTGTGCTGAAGTAGAAGTAGAGCCGGGGACTGAACAAGTGCTAGGAGCTAGATTGGAAGAGGGATATGAACAAAATACGGGAAGCCCTGGGATCTTGGAGGGCTCAAAGGAACTAAAGCGAAAATCGGAAATTTGCATAGCTCGTTCCCTTGTGGTTCCAAGGGCGGGACAGGCCCTTGTTCGAGTTGCCAACTTCTCGGATAGACCAATCAAGATACGGTCAGATGTTCCTATTGCCGAATATCACCCTATTAGCAGCGTGAATGGTAGTATAATTCCCATTGGAGTTGACTCAGAATCGAAAAGTACCTCTCGGCCACATGCATTCTGTTCGACCATTGACAGCACAGTGGGGAAGAGTGAGCAGACAAAAGGAGAGGGAGAAAAGTGGAGGACAATCTGTGAACAACAAAACCTGGAAGGGCTTTCAGAAGGTCAAAAGGAACAATTCTCGTCTCTGGTGAAAGAGTATGAGGACATTTTTGCTATGAACAGTCCGGATTTAGGGAAATCTGATCTCATGGAACATGAAATTAATACGGGTGATTGTACACCAATTAAGCAACCACCGCGCCGTATTCCCCCTCACCAAAGAGAAATCATTGACCAACAGCTGGATGAGCTCGTAGCTAATGGTAGGGTTGAACAGTCCCAAAGTCCCTGGAGTAGCCCCGTTGTGTTGGCCCGGAAACATGATGGAACTTACCGTATGTGTATTGACTTTCGGAGACTTAACCAGTACACAAAAAAGATGCTATCTCGCTGCCTAGGACTGATGATGTCTTAGAGGCCCTGGGCGGTGCTCAGTGGTTCTCGTGCCTTGATTTGGCCTCTGGAT